AAATCTCACTGGCACTCTCAACACGACACACAAGGATGGCACAATTACACAGAAGACAAACACTTTGAGTGAGTAGAAATACTTTGTTTGAATATAAAATATATTTTGCATTGTATAAATTCACTTTTCCACATCCTAAATGTAATTGTTAAATGTAAACGAAATCCCAGGCCCTGAAGATGATCTCAATAAAAGATCGGAACGTTGGCACGATAAAGAAAATGTTTTTCTGAAACCTACACCACACCAGACCGCATCTCACGATATCTGATTAACTTTCGATTAACGGTCACTAATCTCCACACATTTCTTGATGAGAGAAAAGTTTGAGCAAGTTTAATTTTTATTGCACATTTTGTCAAAGGAAATATTGCGCACTAATTTTTAGACTAGGTCTACTGTTGAAGGACTTCTCTTGCTGTTTCTTGTTTTCGCGAAAACATTGACTTTTGTGGGCCGTCAATATTATAGCGTAATAAATTGGGATCAAGATGTCATTTACAACAATTTTTTTTCAGGGTTGTTGCTGTCTCAGCTGAAAAACTTCAATTCGTCAGTGACATCAAAATTACAAACGGGGAATTATGGTTGGCCAGTAACAGATTGCAGAAGTTCTACCATTCAAGTATAAACTCTTCGGATACTAATTTAAGAATCATGAAATTCGTCTCTTCCCAATTATAAAATCGACCTGTAAAAGTCGTCAACAATTATATTATTAACATGAAGAAAAAAAAATACAATTTTTGTTTTATTTTTACTATCATCAGGAAACCCATTGACAACATTCCTCATAGAAACCTCGTCAATCCTCTCGCAATGAGAAGGAATAAACAAATCTTTAACTATGATGGTTTGAAACAAAATCCTACAAAACAATGGAAAATCATTTAGTGGCAGATTTAAATTTAATTAATAATTTGTTTACTGTTTGATAGTTTCCCATTAGCCATGTCTACCTATCCTCGCTGATTTTTGTTAATTCAAAAGCGTTTTTAATTCTGCATTTCGGCACTACAAATGACTATCGCACATCTGTAGCCTACTCACATTTTGAATTAAGTTTGAAACAAAATAAGAAGTACGTTTGGTTCGATGATTTCGAAATTATACTTGAAGCACGATTTAATGGATTTAAAATAATTAAGAATTAACAAGTTTCATTTAATTAAAATCCATTGAGGAGGATGAAATTTTAAAATATAGATTTATGAAAAATATTGCCAAAGTGACACTGGAACAATAGAGCAATATTGATCAGGTTTGACAATATCTAGGATTAAACATAACGGCATAACTAATGTTACATTATTAATTAAAAACAAACTATTTGATATTTTTCATATTTAGCATTTATTGAAGTTCTTAATTGAAAATCTTTTCCGACGAAAATAGTATAAAAGAAATTTAATGATACATTCAAAACTGCGGTAGCCCTGATGATAGATATTTGTGTTATTCTATCTCCAGTAAGGTTACGTTCTCATGTAACACTAACATAAAATCGTAAATCATCAGGGACTGAAGATAGGAATGGAGAAATGTACGTTCGTCATGGTAGCAAAGTATGGTGTACTATCCCCCAAATTATTTTTTCCTACTTACTCTGGGACACTCGGTATATGTTAAAAACAAAAGTAGCACCATAAGAGTTCATCTATAGAAACAACAGATAAAAGCGTGAAGCTGTGACCATGAAAAATATATTTACAAACATGTATAGGTCTCAGGAACAAATGAAAAGAGAGAGAGAGAGAGAGAGATAGAGAGATAGATATATAGATAGATAGAGAGGGAGAGAGTGAGATAGAGAGAGAGAGAGAGAGAGAGAGAGAGA